AGGAGTGAAACTTTGGTCGACCACAAACGAGTCCATACTAAAGAAAGACCTTACATTTGTGTCGTTTGCGCTAAGGGATTCACACAAAAATCGGCTTTGAACGTTCACATGAGAATCCACACTGGGGAGAAACCGCATTTGTGCGATCTTTGTAATAAGAAATTTACTACTAAGCATTTGCTTAGAAGTCATAGGTGCGTAGGTCCAATGTTTATGCAAGACGAAGAAAAGGCGAAAGTTGTGGTGACTGTTACTAATAGTACCGAATGTCAAATACCCGAACTGCAATAAATTTGTAATAGTTTTGTTACTAGAGCAGGACTTAGTGACGCATTGTTTTGGAAAACTAGTCCTTTTGATTTCTTTTTTGGTTATTATAAAAGTGCAAGGCAAAATACAAAATTCAATCAAAATTATTCTCCAGAGGATTACGCTACTATAACCTGCTCTATCTATACGGCAAGAACCAAATTTGTGGTTGTTACAGTATTCTGTAGATCTTTCGTTAAATCTTGACCAGCATAATACCGTCATTTGGCAACAGTTTGTTTCTTGCTGTGGGTACGTTTATTTAGACTTAGTTGATTATGAGCATTTGCTTAAAAAAATACGTCTGAATCAATCAACGGTTCTCTGATGTATGACAATATTACTTTAATCAAAACTCCTTAATTTTAGGACATTTTTGTGAAGGTGCTCATAAAATTTTCAATTTTGGATTTAGACAAATAATAGTCGTAATGCAGAGCAATGAACACCAGGTACAGAAGAGGCCCCAGAATACTATCTTGTAGTTTTTCTAATTAATTTTACGAGATAATAATTGAATCAGAAACTGGGGTCTTGCGGGTAGTTCCGGTTGCCATGGCTAGTTTTGAGGTTATCTATGGAAAAGAGGTTTTTTGTTTATTTTAAACACAAGTTTAAGTTGTGTGAACGGTTTTTCTGATCTCTTATTAGAATTTTTTAGTTCTTTAAGTAGTTTTTGATGCCGCTCCGTACCAACTTTGTGTTCTCTTTTATCCAAGGGCTTTGAGGCTACTTGATTGTTTGAGAATAGAAAACTATTGAGAAATTCAATCAGTATCTTCACAAAAAGTTAATTAGTAAATATGGTGCTATTATTTAAAGAAATATAGTTCGGTTAAGGGTTTTTGTGCAATAAAAAAAGCTTTAAGAAAATGTTCATGGAACAAATGAATTGTTAATTGATTTCAGACTACAGTTATTTGTAATTACTAGTCAGTGTAGTAACTACTTAATATTGTAATAAAGTATATTTATATGCCGTTAAATTTTATAGTTTTTACTGTTTTGATTTTTTTGTCGTGTTCATTTGTTTTAAAGATATGCATCGTTGTTATTATTTAAGAGTTTGGCACTTTTGATCATAATCATTATTAAATAAATTATTTATATAATTTTACTTTATTTCCATTATTTTTATTTTACAGAAAACTAATACTAGGCAAGTAAAAATTAAATAAAAAATATCCTAGTTTCTTAATTATCATTTGTTTTAGGAAAAAATCAAAAGCTCTTAATTCAACGTTTAAATGTGATATTTGCGGCAAAAAGTGTTTCTCTTTGCAACAATTAAAAACTCATTTCAGAGGTCACGATGCTTCATCAAAACGCCTACTGGCGATCAAACACGAAGAGCACAGATGCGGCTATTGTGGTAAACTTTTAGGAGATAGAGGCTCTTTAGAAAGACACGTCGCTGCATATCACAATAAAGAAACGAGATTCGACTGCGCCAATTGCGATCAAAAGTTTTATCACAAGTACATGTTGGTTAGGCACCTTAAAGAGAAGCACAACGACAGTCCTCCAAAATGTGATGTCTGCGGTCACGAATTTTCAACTTACGCCACATTGCGCAGACATGCCGAAGACAAACATAATGTCAATATTCAACAGCTGGAATGCTTGGAGTGTCGTAAAATATTCCTTAGCGGTTTAAGCTACAAGAAGCATATGAAAAAGCACGCTACAGGTGGTATACGTTGCATCTGCACAATCTGTGGTATGGGTTTATCATCTGCTACAAGTTTGAAAGACCATATGACCAGGCGTCATAACGATGAAACACCTTTTGAATGTAAATATTGTGACAGAGCTTTCACTACCAGTTTGTCACTTAAAACTCATCAGTTGACCCACGTAGACCCTTCGTTTGCTTGTAATCTTTGCGATAAAAAGTTTATACAATCTGCGTCCTTAAGGATTCATATTAAAAGGGTGCATATTAAGGTGCGCCCGTATTCTTGCGATTTTTGTCAAAAACATTTTGCTACTCGGACTGAACTTAAGAAGCACAGGGTTAGGTGTAAAGGGCCAAAATCTGTTACGAGATAGAGTGTAGATTATAAAGGAATTGTTAGGGTTTCATTAAGCCCATCCGTATACAAGGTGTACCGTGACTCGATAGCCTTGGCTTAAGTTCGTATTCTTTGGACAATTTTAAGTCCACACTTTGGTCCAAAACTCAATAATTAATTGGGTTTTTTGTAAATAAAAAAAACCCAATCTATAAAACGAAAGTTATTTTTTAATTTTTTTTTTGGTTCATTTAGGCTAAAATGGCTTTAGGTATTTTTAGATCAGTTGTGAGCGTTTTATAACAGAGTAGAGGCGAGGCATACTGGATGTCCCGAAAGAAACAAAAAAAAAAAACAAGTTATGTAATTAAGTAGTTTTGAAAGATTTTCTTGTTTTATTTCGCGGAACTGTGGCGTGATTTTGTCAAATTTTTTTAAAAACTGTTCGGAAAAAATTAGAATTATTATTAATTAAGGGTAGGACTTATATTTAAAGGGACCAACTTTTTTTAATTTAAATTATCGGGTGTTCCATTTAAAAAAATATGACTATGACTTCATTTAGTGAAATAAATCAAGAGAAAATATTGATAACTACTAATTAATTTTCACGTTATTACGAAAATTTAGTTACCCATAGAGGTTTTATGATTTTTTACGTTTCTTTTATGACACACTGCATAAATGATAAGCAAAATCTGTGGTGTTCCTCTACCACTTTTCCAAAATTTGATATATTTAAAAAAATAACAGTTTCGATTATTTTAAAATTCAGAAAAAACTAAATCATATTTTTGAAAAGCGATTTCAGTGGAACAAGATTTAACTAAACACGTACATAAGTATTTTTTCTTTTACTAATTATTGGCAAATGTGAATATGAGACAGATTATGAACATAAGACAAATATGAATATTATTATAATAAAATTAAACATTACTTGTGTATATTTAAAAAGAAAAAAACATTAAATAAAAAAATATTACACCGAGACTTGAATCCACGATCCCTTGCTTGAAAAGTCAACGTCTTATCCATAAATCACATTCGCTAGATACTTTTGTTTGCAAGATGGTGTAATAACTATTCGAAAGCCAAAGTTGAACCAGTTAATTTTATTCGTACTAATTCTCTGCAGAAACTACCGAATGAATATGTAGCCACATATCAGTCTACTGAACGGATATAATGTTATATCCATTCTAGAATGTATAAAAAATCCACCAAATGTTTAGAAGACCGCTAACCAAATATCCTACACCCACACGGATATTGTCTATTCTACGCACATAACCAAAAAGTTGGCCATTGTATTCTACTGCGGCCTAGATGGATCTGTTGTGGTTCATGGTCTAACTTATAGTTCACCGTACAAGCCACGCCTTTTGATACTGGTCATGGTTGAATTGGGTAAGACCTGTTTAAACTCAGGCTCCAGTCGGGCGAATCCGAAGATCTTGTACCTAGTTTCTTCCAAAGTGGAACAGAATCGACAGTCCGATGTTTGTTGCAGACATATCCTCCTCATGGGATTACCTAGACGACAATGTCCTGTCATCAGTTCCATGAGGATGCGTATGTTTTTCCTACTTCATTCCCGAATTTGAGAAAAGGCTTTCATGGAAGGGTTTGGTGAGTGTTGCACGCTCCGTCCATTTTGAGATAATTGCTTTAGCGATGTTCTTTACAGTGCCAGGAATTGTGTTGGTCCTATGAACTTAGATTTGGTTCCTCTTTTAGAGAGCACGTCCTCATTTTCATTGCCCTGCACACCGCTGTGTCCCGGAACCCAGATTAAAGTAACTTTGTTCTGGGTACCCAGATACTCAAGGGAATTTATACAGTTCCAAACAAGCTTTGAGCCAACTCGATTGGAGCTCAGGGCCTTGAGGGCTGCCTGGCTATCTATATTAACTCGCTTGTTTCTAATTTTATAGCAATAATTTCTGCTTGGAAGACCGTGGCCAGAAAGCCCAAATTTATTGAACGTAATGCCTAAGGCCTCTTTATTATTTTTGGGGACACATGAAAAGTCTAGTATTTAAATAAACCATAAACCAAAAATAAGCTAATTCAAAATATTATGGTTGTAGCTGCATACATACGAGACGACCCACTCTTCAAAGAGCTCGTCCTTCAATTATTAGAAGAGCAAAACTTTAATTAAATTTGTTTTAGCAATACAAAATTCTTAATATAATATTACATTACTTTATTCAACATGCCGTTTCCTTTATTCTACACACTTTGTTAAATTTAATATTATCTATAACTTCTTGAGTTTTTGGAATTAAAATTGTCCAAAAAATAACTTCTAATTTCTTTCAATTGGTGACACAATACATATTGAGGGGAAATAATATAGCCGCTATTGAGTCCTAGAAATCACTCTAATTTCAATTACCTTAAAATCTACTTTAAATGTGCTGTAGATGTAGGACCCTAGGGTGATTCAAAATCACCCATTATTAATGGGTCTAACATATTTCATTACCCAGATTTAGGGTGCTTTTATGGATTTTGTATGAATTTTCATCTCAATAAAAGCTGCAAAATCTTTAGTGTATTACTGTTTGATCCACTCCCCAAACATCGTTTTGTAATTTGTTACATAATAAAATCATTTCCAGGTCTGAAGATGAAATCGATTCCGAACCAATAAAAATTCAATGTGGAATGTGTTCTGTTATATTTCCAAACAAGGCAGCCTTTGTAGACCATTCTATGAAATTGGACGGAGATTTTTATCATTGTTGTAAATGTCTAACTAAATTTAGAGACTGTATCCAGCTCTACGAACACTATGAAACTCACAAACAAGACGGCGCGATGGAAATAGAAGAAGTAGTTCAAGAAATTGGTGAAGAAATGGTGTTGACCTACGGAGAAGATCATGAAGTGATTGTGCAAACTTCGGGAAATGAGGGGAACGATTTGTTATATGTACTCGATGATAATAACGTTAACGAAGTAGAAATAGAAGAAGATCAACCGACCGTAGGTTCTTCTAACAAAACCCGTAGAGAAACTATCGAAATTGTTAATTTAGAACACGGGTATGTCGTTACTAACATTGAAAATTATCCAACCGAAGACGAGGAGGAAATTGATAATTCAGAAATCACTGGTCAGCCTGAATCTGTTAGACTAAGTAATAAGAGATTATTTGGTACACCACGTCCGAGGAATCCACAACCAAAGAGAAGACATGAAGTACCTGATTTTTCAGCCGCCAACTATATGTATATAGCCGCTAACGAAGAAATCGAGGTTGATCATTTCAAATGTTTGAGATGCGAGCAGTTATTCATAAATAAATTCGGGTTTTTTAGACATATAGAAAAAGGAAAATGTTTTATAAATAATTGTGATGTATGTATGAACACGTTTACAAAAAATTACGAATTTTATAATCATTACCTAGCTGAACATCCTGATAGGGCTATTTGCAATTTTTGTTTTCGAACTTTTATGTACGAGAAGAACGTTAAAGAGCACATGCTGCGACATTTGGACCAGTTTAGGCATAAATGCGAAGATTGTAATAAAGGATTTTATACTGTGAGAGAATACAGGAATCATTATAAAAATAGGCACATGGGAATTAGGCATAAATGTGAAGTATGCAATCGGAGTTTCGCCGATGAGTATTACTTTAAAAGACACATGGCAACTCACGCTAAAGCTAACAAAATTGCTGTTTATGAGGTTGCAGAGAAGTCTTGAATTTGTGCGATTTTATAATTATTGGTTTAATGTATTTTTTAATGGTTTTAAATTTGTTCAAATTATATCTATCCTACCAAAGGACGCTTTTGATACGCAAAATGGCTTTTCGTCGAATGCCGTTAATTTTGGATATATTGTAGTACTTGATGTCTAGGCCAAATATGTTCTTGGGCCCACTTAATTTCTATGGCTAGTTTTTAAGTTACAGGGTGTTAAAATTTTAAAATTTCTAATTTCTATAATTTAGGCTAAAATTTGTTCTCTGTATTCGGCTTCCATATTGAAAAAACTAAAAGTAAATTCCGTGATTGTGATTGTTGTATTAAAAAACATCCTACAAATTATACTGTATAGTTACCCCACATATTAATTATCACCAAGACGTTAATACTTTCAATGGAATACAGGGTGGTTGATTGGTCCGATTGATTATTCACATGGTAATATTTAATGAAATATATTAAATGATATACCTATACAAAATAAGAAACATAAGAATTTCGTCGTTCGTCGTGTAAGAAATAAATAAATGGTGCGTTACAATATAGCATCTTTAACAATACCTGCATCCCACGTGACTAAATTGATGTCTATAGTTGGCTAAAGAAGAAGTATTTTTTTAAATTAATTCTATTTTAATATTTTTAAGAAATATATGACCAGCCAGAATGCCAGCGATTAGGCGCAGATTCTGTCTAATCATAGTCCAGTATTCCTTTACTGTAGTGTTGTCAGGATAACTTTATATCTCCCTGGCAAACCTGTAGCTTCTTGTTTCGTCCTATCTTTTCTTGAACTCCATAAGGAATGTTCTTTAATTCACTACCGATGTCAGTCCAATGAAATGGCCAAGTTCAAAAAGTATTTGACCTTTGATTCATCATAATGTGATCACATTATTGATGGATACTTCCACCAAATCTTCTTGACATTCTAGAACTAAACCTCAGTAAATTCAAACCTGTGCTGTCACCAATGAAAGTGCCGACATATGAGCTAATCAAATATAAAAAATGCGCTTGCAATAAAAACAGATTTCTACAGATTTCCATGTAAATACAGTTTCGGCCATTGAACACCCTCCAATACACCTTGTCAATGTCAAAGTTTTCTATTGATAGATATTTCCACACGGCCGGTTGGCTCTGTTGATATTATTCGTTTCCTGCTCGAAATAATGTTCTCTGTAGTTTTCACTTTAACATTAGCAAAGAGTACTGGAAAGCGTTTAATAGCCGACACTGTAGACATTAAAAAATATAAAAATTAAGATGTTGCAGATTTCAAAACTAAAAAATGTAGGTACACAAATATAAAATATTATTTACAATGGAAAAACAATGTACAAAATTAATAAATAATTATGAATGGTATACACTTTTTTATTTTTATCTATTTTGAGCTAGCAAATTCGTCGTGCGTTGTGTAGTAGGTGAATTTTTACTACGTCAATATTTCACTATTTAATTGCTTTCCACTTATTACAACTCTCTTTGATCTCGGCCTAACTAATTGCGCCCTTATTTCAGCTCCTGCTGGTCGATGTCATCTTTGTCTTTTCAGGTCCCTTCCAAATGCGCTACCCGTGGAAAGTTCTTCTAACAAACTGTCCATGATACCTTCTTGCGTCTCAGATGGATTCATATTTACCAGCCTTCGTTTGTTTCTCTCCTCATTTTTTACCTGCTTCAATTTCGCTAACCTCGCTTTCTTCTTCACGACCTCCTTCTCTTTCTGGTTGTCTCCGCCCTGGCTTGACATCAGAGCAACATCCTTGATGTAAATATCAAGGGGAACGAGACTAAAAATTAGTTCAATTAATCTGGTTGGTGTGGTTTTCATGGCTTGTTATGTTGGACATGCTGTTTTTTGAACTTGTTCTAGTTTGCTTGAAGCTGTCAATTGCTGGGATTCGATACCCACACAACTGCATTGTTTATAAGCAATGCATGTTTTTTAAACTGTTTTCAAGTTGTAGATTGACCTAGTAAGAGCATCTTTTTATAAAAGGCCAGTGGTGATTGAAAGGGCGCTGATTTCAAACACTTGGGTTTTTCAATCGAGTATTAATTCTTACAACTTCAGGTTTCTGTTTAATTATTGTAAAAGATTGTTTTTTTAGAGCTGTTAGAACTTAAAATACAAAATGCCGACTTTTAAAGTAAGACATAGTAGTGTTTTTCACTAGACCGTGCTAAAGTGCAGGATATAGAACTGTCACTTATAAGGGAATGCAAATTGTACATTTGGAGACCCCATTGGGAGTTATACATGCGAATTTCTCTAGTATACAGTTCAAATATTTAAATGAGCAATACAGATTAAGCAAATATGGGCATGATATAAAATTGTGCGACTTTGTCTATGCAGGTGTTATTGTGCATTTTATTTACAAAGTATCAATTTTGGTACGAATGTGCACCCAAGAATAACAATTACTTGCAACGCGTGTAAGTAAAGAATATTGTGTTAAAAGAGAGATAAAAGAACTGTATTATTTTTCTTATTGTATAGTTGAATGTTTTTAGTTTATATTATATATTGACTTCTAACGTTTGTTAGTCGTTCGGATAGTCGTATTTAAAGACGTTTTTTTATAAAGTTGTGAGATTATAAAAATTAGGCTTTTCTTTTCAATTCAAAAACTAGCCATATTATCTAAGCGGAAGCGGGCCCATGGGCTCATTTAGTCTAAAGGTCAAGTACTACAATATATCCAAAATGTATGGCATTCGACGAAATACTATTTTTAACTAGAAAAGCGCGGGGACCATTAACTTTACAAGGTGGCGCATTAGTTCGGAACAATTTTTTTTGTTATAAAAGTGCTGATTGGTTTAACTGCAAAATGCAAAATTTACCCAAACCAACAAGATGTGTACTACTTAAGTCCAGCTTTAATAAGCTAGATACAAAAAATGATTTAAAGAACGCTAAAATTTTAAAATATACTATTTTTATCAGCAAATGAGTTCTCAAATGGTAATTAATTTAATTGGTTTAAAAATTATTTTAAATTTGACCAGTTTTAAAAATGGTGGCATATATTTTTAAATACTTTTTTCAAACGTAATATAGTAAGTGTCGCTTTTATGTTTAACCAAATTTATACTTAAAAAATGTATTTATTATTAATAATTATAGCTACTCAAAGTATATGGATTTTACAGTCATTCCTGAAAGTCTGACTTTGGCCAGTGGTGTTACAAAGAGAGGGAAGAATATTGAGAAAAAATATATAACTTTTTTATACGGCCTTATATCGGCTAACGAATACCTTTTAATATTTCTTAGCACAAGTGCGTTTGAAAACTACAGAGAGCCAGGAAAGGAACAATACCAGCAATACCGTCCGTACGGCCTGCCAACATTTCAAAGCGGTCGTTTCATATTCATATTAATGACACCGTTGACAGCATTCCTTTTTCTCTCGCTCCAATGCAAACTCTCTGTAGCTTTCATTCGTACTTGTGCCAAGGTGTATTATTATTGCCGACAATTGTTTTAAAATGTCATTCCAAAGAACGAAAATACAACATTTTTGAAAAATTGGAACTGCCATGAATTTATAATATGACAACGATTAATTGACAGACTTTTGTTTGCATAGAAACAAGTTTGTTTTTAAGACATGATTGTATTGTATTGTCACTTATTAATAACATTTAGTGAGCCCAATTGGTAAAAATAGTTTAAAACTCGGTGATTGGTTAGTAATGAGAGTTTTTATTGGCGGAAATCGCAAACTTTGTTTATTTTGATGTATAGAAGAAAATATATTTTAACTTTAAAAAGTTTGAGAGTGAATCCAATTTTAATGAAAACATTTATGATCTTAATAATTGTTTCACTGCAATTATTAACTTCAGTCTACAATATTTACCGATACCAACAAAATTGCTAATTCTTACATTCTTCTTAGGGAGACAGATTATACCAGGATTATAAAATAACCAAATAAGGGTCAGCATATTAACATTACTTTTACTGTTTGATTTCTAATAATACGTATCGTATAGGGTTACCCGACAATTGCGGATTGGTCAAAAGCGCCCCGACAAATATGCGCCCCAACAAAAATTATTTTTTTATATGTTTTATTATATTTTTTTTAATACTGATTACTGGCAGGTTTTTTTAGTTTTTTAACTATTTGTTTGCCCCATGGAGGTTCGGAAATGGATTGTATTATTTAGAAGGAGAATATTAATAGAGGTTTGTTTTCGTAATTTTTTATTTTAAATTTACCTACGCTGTATTTTATTTATTTTTTTTATCTGCGTTTTACTGTTCAACGTAATTCTATACAACTTTTATTAGTATCTTTTTCTGTATCTTAAAAATTGTAGATAGTATATTTTTGTGAATTTTAATCATTTGGTGTGTATACAAAATGAAGAATAAAACTTATTTCATTAAATTTTTATTGATTAAAAATAATTATAAAAATAAATAACTATAATTCAAAATTTAATGACAATCCCCGTAAATAATTGATAATGTCATTTCTATCATAATTTTGTTCTACTGTTTTTGCCTGGTAAATATATTTTTTAAATAGAATAACCCTGTATTTTACTTCAGTTTTTTGAATTGTCTAGTAATATTGTATTCAATTTTAATTTTTTTTTTTTTAATATTACAGGGTTGCCATGCAATTAATTTTTTATTGAATTAGAGAATGATGCAGACCCCAAATTAAATTATCATAATTTAGGTAGGTTTAAAATTGTTTAAAATACAAACTAAAATACTAAGCTAACGAATAGTGGTGATAGAACTAGAATATTTTATACACAGTATTTTGAAACATGTCTTAAATATGGATAATTTTAAGTTCAGTTTACTCAATTTTCAAATACAATTCCCTGTATATTATTTTAGCATAAAATTCAATATAAATGTATCTATCCAACTCTATCAACATGCTTGTCAATAACACATACAATATACACCTCTTGTTTGACAAACTCTATACAGGGTCATTCTATATGGGC